CCCTGTTACAGAAATTGGTAATGGAAGCCTCTGGCAGGCTCTTACAGGCGAAGCTCAGAGCAGACCCTTAGGACTTCAGAGCACAGCTACGCCACCCTCTGACGATAACTATTTTCCTTCTGAGAAATTGCTTGTGGCTCACTGATGCCCTCATGGAGTGTAAGTGCTTGATCATGGGGCGCCAAGTTATGATGCAACCTGAGCTGCCCAACATGGACTCCAGGCTATCTGATCCATCAAGGAGCATTCGGCCATCACATCAAAGCAGAATCCTCTCCACCAGGCCCAGAAGAGGTAAGTAAGGTACATGAGCAAGCAGTTCAGATGCCCATGGCCCTATTCCTGCGGCTCTGCCTCCTCTCAACACTGATTCATGGCCTCATGGTTCGGCTGGACGGTCACACTTGAGAGGAACTGGTAACAAGGTCTGCAGAAGCGGCTGTGAGTAGACCTCCACAAACGGGCTCAGGTTGTGAGCATTTGTGCATCAGGTGAATGCTTAGCAAAGAGCACTCTCAGCAGAAGATCTTCATAAGCAGGCAAACAACATGACCCATTATACAGATGTCGGGCAGCCTCTTTCCCCAGACTTCTTCTCCAAATGGACTCATGTAGAACAGCCATGGTGGCTCAGATGGAGGTTATACGCGGAACTCAGCAATGCAACTTCCACCCACAAAGATTAACCTGACTCCTGGCACTTTGAGTGTTTTACCTGCACACGACGCTGCTCCTTAGGGTATCAGCCAGCCACCTAGTAACAGGTGGTTATCACTGGACCACTTCCATCATGGAAGGGGCAGCACTTTATTCTCACTGGAAGAGATAATTCCCTGCCCACAATGCTGCTGCCAAAAGCAGCATCCGTGGTCTTATAGAACGCCCTATCCACCATCATGGGAGCCCACACAGCACTGCTTCTGACCAAGGAACTCATTTCACAGCAAATGAAGTTTACAGCAATGGGTTTATGCTCATGACATTCCCTGGTCTTGCCATGTCCCCATCACCTTGAAGCAGCTGACCCAACAGGTTGGTGGAATGTCCTTTTGAATGGTCAGTTTCAGGACCAGCTTGACTGGTAACACCTTATGGGGCTGGAGGTGTATCTTCCAAAATATCTTTTAGTAGTATATGCTCTGACCAGTGGGCTGTTTCTCCCACAGCCAGGATTCACAGGTCTGGGAATCCAGGGGTGAATGTGGTAGTGGTTCCCCTCACTATTACCCCTAGTGATCCACTAACAAAATTTTTGCCTCCCTTTCCTGAAGTGTTTGCTCTGCTGGCCCACAGGTCTTAGTTTCTAAGGGCAGAATGTTCCCTCCTAAGGACACAGCAATTGCTCCACTAAACTGGAAGTGGAGACAACAGGCAAAGAAGGGGTTACTGCAGTGAGTGAGATGACTGGTCCTGACCACCAAGAAGTTTTGACCACACACTGGAGAAGGAAGAACATGCCCGGATCCTGGAGATCCCTGGGGGGCCCCTTAGGACTCCCACGCCCTGTGACTAAATTCAGTGGAAAAGTACAACCATCCAGCACAGGCGGTCCTGCTGAAGGACCAGATCTTCAGGAAGGAAAGCTGAGTAATCTTTTTTTTATAATTTTATTTATTTATTTTTTCCCCCAAAGCCGCAGTAGATAGTTGTATGTTATAGCTGCACATCCTTCTAGTTGCTGTATGTGGAACACGGCCTCAGCATGGCCGGAGAAGCGGTGCATCGGTGCGCGCCCGGAATCCGAACCTGGGCCTCCAGCAGCGGAGCGTGCGCACTTAACCACTAAGCCACGGGGCCAGCCCTGAGTAATCTTATTGGACAATCAAGGCAGGTGCTTGCTGCAAAGGGAACATGAAGGAATTTATAAATACCAGCTATGACCATTGACTGGTTGTAGAAATGAGGACTAAACTAGTCATGAGTTTTTCTTCCTTATTTTGATATGGACAGATTTGTGTATGCATAAATGAATTCTTTTGTTTTCTTCCCCTCTCCCATTCCTAAGCATCTAACATAAGAAGTGCTAACATTAGTTAGCCTTGGCTCTCAATATTTGAGTTATAGGCTCTCAAAGGGGAGGGTAATACCCAGCTAGAAGAGAATGGGTGTCACCCCAAACTGGATAAAAGGACTCTGTATCCTCCGGGGGAGTTAGGGAGTTTTCTGCTATATGGGCGATAGTTGAATCATGTTATGCTGAAGCATGATTCTGCTATTGTCTTTATTTGGAAATTCAGTGTGGTTAAAAGAGGTGTGCATGGATGCCAAATTGACACAAGATAAATGGTGGTGGTTTTATACTGTATCAACTTAGCAAGGTTGGAATTACATTTCCCAAAATTCCCTTTCTTGGATGATTCTGGGTTAGGGCTGGCCACAAGAGAAATTTGTGAGCAATTTGGAAGGCAGAAGGGAAGCAGCTGCCAGCACATGCTGAAGGCCAGCGCAGGGTGCCAGGCACTGCTGCAGCTCACACACATTGTCACTGATCTGCCGGCCTCCTTGCTGGCGTGGGGCAGCCGCTGGGCCTGCAGCTCCCGAAGGGTGTCTTCTGAGTCCTGGGCCAGGTGGGCACAGCTCTGTGGAGGCGCACTCCAGCTCCTCTGGCTGGTCGCCTGTGTCACCAGGTTTGGAGGAAGTGAGAGACAGATGCGGGTTCTGCCCTGTCCTTCTCTTCCCCAATCCTTACCTAGCTCATCTTCTGGGTGGCCGGCCCCACACCATAGTCTTCTTTACTGGCTCCCACAATTGCATACGGTCTCATTCCTATAATAATCCCTTTATTCCACAACGCTCATAATGGTTCTGCTTCTTTGATAAACCCATACCTGATACAGGGTTCAACAAAGCTGTCGCCCAGTCCACAAGTAACAGAAGGTGGCATAACCCTGGTCTGATCTGCAAGTCGGCCCACTGCCATTGCTCTTCAGGGGAGGGAGGGGAGGTCCTCGCCGTCAGCTGTTCAACCGCAGACATTCGACTACAGAAGCCACTGCGCGCTAGCACTGCTGACTCGCTGCTCCCGAGCATGAGTCTTTTATTACTCTTTCTTCTGGATGTAGTTCAACGAAAGTTGCCCACCAGTCAGCAACTAAGGAATGGCTTCTCTGAAGAACAGGACATGACACATCCATGCTATGGGGCTTCTCAGACTGAAAACTACCCAAGGCCCCCAAAAGTCAAGCAAAATTACTCTCAGTTTCTAGCCTTGAAAGTATGTTGTGGGGAGGGGGAAGGAAGGTGGGAGAAGGCTAGAACCAAATGTTCCAAATGCTGGGAAATACCCTCATCGAAAAAATTTTTTTGTTTACTCATTCCTATTAGAAAGAAAGGAATCCAATGAAGTTTTTAATTACATCAAACCATTTAATTTTTTGTGTGTTTTCTAACTAATCTACTAATTTTTGAAATAGTGGACACTTAGAAATTACCTGAATGCATTTTTCCTAAACAGTTCTTAAATGAAAGAGAAATTAAAATATTTCACTTACGATCTCAACACGTAATAGTTCCTAACCTCCTTACCAGAACGGTCCCTTTCTCACTCAGAATGCGGCAAATATTTATTGACACTGGGCCCAGTCTGTGTCGGGACTGTTCCAGAAGCTGAGAAAACAGGCACGAGTGAGCTGGAAAAGGCTCCTTACCCTCAAGGGGCTTACAGGCCAGCTTGCCCGGGCTCTGTATCTCCCTCTTCACACTCAGAGAATATACCAGGGTGAATTTCCTGAAACACGCAACGTTGTGTTTCAGGAAATGGTCTCCTTGTTTCTTGCCGGGGGAGACAAAGATCAGAGAACTCAAGTCTCCATGGAGCAGAGATCTCAGGCGACATGAAGACAACACTGGGATGAAGGAGAGCGTTTCCTCAGGAAGACAGCTGAGGTGGGGTGACACGCCACGGATCAATGCACTGGAAGCCCTGAGATCAGAACGAGCAGTCACTCTTTCACGTCCCATTTTGTCTACCTTTTGTAAGAAAAGCAAGGCTCCTTGAGGCAACATACATACTCAGACACCCCGCTTCCACTTCAGGAAGAGACTCTTAGAGCGCACTGCCTGACAGAACAGTGAGAGGAGAAAGAAAGCCAACAATCCAAAACTAAATTCCAGAGACAGTTATAAAGAGGCTTCAATGTCAGCGCACCCTTCCTTTATGTGAATGTGAAAGCTGGGTACTAACAGAGAGGGACTTCTGAGAGTTACCAAGCAGACAGAGTCACATCATGACAACTCTAACTTAGGCAGAAATTTTCCGGTAAGACCTGTATGAATGAAAAAAAAAACCAAAAAGCAAGAAAAGCCTATGATCGAGACACCTATTTGTTCTGTACTCAATTATTTTCAGCCCGGTAGACACTTCTCTCCTCATGGCACAAGGAATGCAGCCTAAGAGGGACACGCCCCAGCCAGAGTTGGGGGGGCCATAAAACACACCCATAAAAACACACCACGAGGGGCCAGCCCAGGGGCGCAAGCGGTTAAGTGTCAGCGCTCCGCTGCGGAGGCCCGGGGTTCGCCGGTTTGGATCCCGGGCGCGCACCGACACACCACTTGGCAAGCCATGCTGTGGTGGCGTCCCATATAAAGTGGAGGAAGATGGGCACGGATGTTAGCCCAGGGCCAGTCTTCCTCAGCAAAAAGAGGAGGATTGGCAAATGTTAGCTCAGGGCCGATCTTCCTCACCAAAAACAAAAAAACAAAAAAACCAAAAAAAACCACGAAAGTCATTTCCCTTTTGACCAAAGGGAACACATTTCATTTGGACACATGTTTCCACAACTGGATTTCACTAATTATGAGTCACAAGGAAGACAACATCTGAATTACACGGTAAGGCACTTGAGACTTTCCCAAGCCCTTTCTGTATCTACCTCTTTGGGTCAAAACTGACTTAACTCCACATTTCCCCAGCGTCTTGTAATGCCCCATTCCCTTCATACCAGCAACAGTCCCACAACTCAGGAGGCCAGCTGTGGCCAGGCAGACCCCGCACTCACTTGAGGTGATGTATTCCGGTGCTTTCCCAGGACTCAAGGGCACAGCTTCCTCATAATAACCTTCTGGGAGAGAGGATGTCGGTAACGGTGGCGGCCCACTGTCAGGTGGCTGAGCAGAGAAAGGAAGAAACAATGCAACGTGACCATCAGAAGGAAATTCTGTATTTTCAACCAACAGGTGTTGACCAGCACTGTCCTCTTTCCTTTGTAAAGTCCCTGGTAAAAAAGAACCCGTCCCACAAAGAGGTTCTGCAGGTCGGTTCCTGACTGGATCTCTACTACTCTCCTGCTCACGGCCACCCCCGCCCGGCCCTGGCCACATGCTCCCCAACCCACAACAACTCGCCAGCAGTCTGCCAGCCCAGCAGCACATCTCCCGCGGGGGCCCCTGTGCACTGCTTCCAGGGCAGAGAGGTCCCCCAGGGCTGAGACGGGCGTCTTCCTTCTCTTCATCCCCACAACTCTCCCCACACTACTGACTCTCCCACATCTCCAAAGCTGACTTTCTTCTCCATGGCCTACTCAACTGCATGGGGAGCCCAGGAGCACAGGAACTGCTCAGATGCACCTGGTGCTCATCACAGAGTGAGCAACAGATAAACAGGGACTGGCTGAATGAATAAGGTGCCCACAATCTCACCACACTCCTGAAAAATGCCAGGAAAACTTTAAATAAAGGAAATCACCTATGAGCCACTCTCTAAAAGAAACTGGAAATTATTCTCTGGAGAAGGCATCTGCTCATTACTAGAACCAATTATACCAGTTTCTTGTCAGACTCTGAGACTGAGGCACTCCGGTTTTGAAGCCGTAACTTTGGAACACAGAAGAGCTGGCAGGCTCGGGACTATTCAAACTCCATCTAGCCTTCAAGACCGCTGAAGCCCCCTTCTTCTCTCAAACGTTCCTGCTGACTCTAACGCACACCACCCCCTTCTTCCTATGAACATCTAAAGGTTTGTTGGTGAAATCACTCACCAGTCCTTATGCAACAGAAATGGTGGAAGTAAGGAAAGCCCACATTTGCCAAACACCTGCCATTTACCTGGCACTGTACTTACTAAGTGCTTTTGCGTTGGCCACAGGTTGCATCAGTCAATCCACAGAGGAATCCTTCAAGGTAGATATCACATTACCTTATATTTTACAGACACAGAAAGTGAGGCTCCTCGTCTAAAACAGCCTGCTCAAAATCAGACGCGAGTAACTGACAGAGCTGGGGTTTTCTAACACCAGGCCTGCCTGCTAAAGACCTTTTTTATATTCATATTCTCTCTCTCTCTTTTTTCCTTTTGTAAGAGGAAAACAAACTGTAAATAAACTTAAAAGATGTTATGGAGAACGGAACAGAACAGAGGCCCCAAGCGGAAGATCTACCAAGCTAAATTTCCAAGTAGAACAATGTTCCAAAGAAATCATAGGGGTTTTTTACATAAACTCTCTAGAATTTGAAACTCCACCACTTTCCATGTAAGTCAACTCCGAATCCAAGAAGTCCTCTGTGAATGACTCATCAGCCCACTCCTTCCTCACCAGATGAGGACAGATAGCGCACTCAGGATCACTGGCAGCATTCCTTCACACACTGAAGGCATAGTTATCTCCCCTCCCCCCAGTCCTTGTGCCCTAGACTAAAGAACCCAGATGCCTCTGCACTCAGGGCTGCCTTCCTGGACCGTCATCATGCTGTGGTCTCAGCTGGATGGTATCCAGGTCCTTCTTATCTTCCCGAAGAGGCAGTGCTTAAAACAGAACCTGATACACACAGACTTGGCCCCAGGCACGGTCTGAAAAGGAGTCCACCCTGAGTTAAAATCTCTGCTTGTTGCTTTTGGAAAAGAACTGTTTGATTCACTGAGTGTCTTTATTCATGAAATGGAGGGTGTTTCAACTTCCTTTTAGTATGTTGAAACAGTCAAATTATTCATGTCTTGGGAAAGCATTACAAATAGCTGAATCAAACAAACGTTTATGAAATGGCACAGACTCCTTTCCTAGAGCTGAAGTCAGGCACAGTGTGTAAGGCGAGGCGCTTACTCTCTTAGCTGATGGGATTTCTCAACAGAGACTTTCTGACCCTACTGGTGGTCATGTATTTGACACAACCGCTGGCAACTCAATGGGCACACCCCTAAATCCAATAATTCCACCTCTAGAAATATATGCCAACAAGGTCAATTGGTCACGTGAGCAAAAATGTATAAGGATGTTCAATACAAGTTTTTTTAGCAAAATCTAAAAACAATCTAAATGTTCACAGAGAAAAGAATGATTAGATATACTGACACATCCATGAGCAGACATTTAAAAGGAGACTGCATATCTACAGTCATTTACTTGAAAAATCTCTACTAGATACTGTTAAGTGAAAGGAGACAGGTACACTAGGAGCTCTTTATATAAAATTTGCATGTTTATGCTCACATATATACAAAGACAGAAGGTCATTGACCAAAATGTTAACAAATGGTTGCCTCTTTTTTAATTATATCTGTATAGCTTGGATTTTCCTCACAATATTTGCTGTTTTTAAAATTTTTAAAAATTAAACTATTTTCACTTTGAAGTAACATCCCCCAAAACAATACTTCTAGAGGAACACTCCACTTCCACTTCCAAATACCACTTAACCTTGAAACTCTGCCACAGGGGTTTCAGACACTTAGGCAGAGGAATTACTGCTTGTTAAAGGCAAATGGAGGAGAGGCTGACAAGAGGTCCCTGAACTGTTATTTAGCGCTATTGCTTTCGGAGGAAAAACTTTCAGATCCTTTCCCATCGGTAAGAATTCACTGAAATCACAATTAACAGGAATTTTAAATGGTGCAAAACAGGGGAGGTAGATTTCCAAAAGGAATCACGAAAACCAGAGGACCGGCAGGAAACAAGAAGGCAGAGTGAAGACGAGGAACACCCAAATACTCGGCACGCGTTAAGGTCTGGCTTCGTCCTTGGTCCACGCAACGTTCCTGTAACTCTGAGTCCAATCTCCCCACCTGGAAATGAGGGCGCTGGATCATGATCATCTCTCATGTCCCTCCCAGCTCTAAGATTCCAATTCTAGCATTCTTATAAAGTTGCAGGTCAACAGGCCATAAAACCAACTTTACCTATTTCAAATTTTCCTGAGAGTTGCCTTTGGCTCCCCACTAAATGATAAATGACATCAACTCCGGCCAGAGCAGATCTTCAAATGCCCCTTCTAACAGTAACACTACACACCCACGTGGCAGCGCTCTACTGGATCTGACAGCTTCCCGTCGACGTAGAAGAGACCCAGGCTGTGCATGAAGCTCGAACACCGTCTTGCACTTGTCACCAGGGTTCTTCTGGGCTGGCTCTCACACAACACATGCTAATAAAATAAGGGACTGAAGTCTAAACACCACAGCCTCTTCAGATACTTAAAAAGAAATACGAGAAACCATTTTCCTCAAAGAATGCCTGATCTTTGCCTCTGCTGTGCTCTGGACGTAAAAGAAACAGCGCAGAGCCAGTTACCAGATAACTTCTCAACTCACCAGAATATTTCTCCCTCAAATTAATACTTACGTGAAACTTATACTTTAGCTTAGGAAACCTTATCTGCCTTAAGGTACTGTAAATTTCTCCTTTAAGGTCTCTGTGTCGTATTAGAGAAAACCAGTACTTACAATTAGATAAGAATGTGATCTATAGCCCTGCTTGGCTCACCATATTGGTCATAGTTTAACTCCCATCTTTTTTGGAAAGAAAAGCCCACTAGTATTTGCCTTTGCTACTTTAAGGAAAAGCCTTACAGAGAATTCTTTTCCATTAATATTTGTTATTATTAATAATAACAAATATTATGTTTATATAATTGTATGGTATAAATATAATTATTCTCATTATTGTTATTACTATTATTTCAACAATATAACAATAATAAATACTATTTACTGTTTGCCTACTATACGCCAGACATTGTTCTAGGATATTTTATATATATTTTATCCTGTTCAGAACACAACACTGAGATGTTGGTATTTTGATTATGATTTTACAAATGAGGAAACTGAGGCTCAAGAGATGAAAGATCTTGCCCAGGGTCACACACGCCCAGAGCTAATGAGTGGAGAAGCCAGAGCCACCAGAGCCTGGCATTGATTGCTGAGCCAGAAGCTACGGAACGGCAGCGATGACATTTCTGTGTCATGATCGTATCCCTCGATGCCTGTATCGCAGGTGGTGAGTGGAATGGGAACAGAGAAGGAACTCACCAACCCACCACAGCTATGGGTCCAACCCGACTGCCTCCAGACCCCACAGTACACCCAGATCCGTGACTTCCTAAGGCAGGGGCATTGCACACATCTACGTCATGCCCAACACCTTCAGCACCCTCCCTCTCCCTCATACTGGCACTCCCCACCGCCTTCCCCTCCTCCTACCCCAATCTGTTACGTAGTCCTTTGTACTAGAAACACCAATCAACTATGAGACCTGATTCTAGCAGAGAAAAATATCAGCCTAGAATCTGGAATCACTTCCTGACTTTAATTCTATATATATGGTAGTGTGTCCAGATTCTGTTTTTCGGTTACAGTGATTAAAATCTGCTGAGTAACAGCCAAAAATGATATAATCTGACAGAAGAAAATTAGGGTTCATGTTCTAGTTCTGTCACATATCAGCAAAACCCTTCTCTAATTGACAGGAATATTTTAGCAGCTCTCTATGGAGCACGTATGCCACGATCTAAACTTCCAGGCCGCGGGTCATCCTTTAGGAAGGTATCCACGCGGCTGAGGGAAACTGAGGATCAGAGTAAAGTAATTTTCAATGGATAACAAAAGTTTATGGTCTAAACTGCAAAAACGGTTTCAATCCTAACATCAAGAATTAAGTAGTAGCTTTCTTGGCAAAATAAAAGTTTCTGTCCAGATTACACCCCATTCCATTCTGTTCACCATTTAATCTGCATGTCACACAGCACGTGAGTAAACACTGGAAAATTACTCACATATTTCTTACGTTTTCTCGAGTCTTACTTATGCACAACAAAGGATGAGAGCTGCATGGGGCCAGTCATCCTCCCTTCCTTCTCTACCAGTAGGATGGCTTCCACAGGGAAGGCCAACAGGCCAG